GGAGAGTCTGAATTGAATTTGTAGTTTGGGCAAGAAGCCTAGTTGGGCACTAAAACCCAAGTGCCAATGTGGGAAGGAGGGGGATTTTAGCCTGGGGGGATTTCCAAGAACCACTGTCAAAAGTTCTCAAGACAGTTATGCAGCATCCTCCATGCTGAAAGCTGTCTTTTGCAAACTACCCCCATGTAGAAAAACCATCAGGAGGTCACAGATCATTCTGAAGAATCAACACAATGTCACAGGCTGATGACAGGTTGACGCTAAGGTCATGGACCAGTTTTCTTTGGGGAATGCCTTCATAGAGCAAAAGAGTTGCATTAGCAAAATGTCACTGAAAGCAGTCACCATATTCAGCAGAGCAGAGGACTGTCCTCGCTAATGCATGGGCGGCCCAGTAAATCTAGAATCCTTGGTGCCTTTCCTGAAAACTGCAACAGAATATTGTGTTAAAGTAGCTTCTTGCTCCAAACATAGATACATAAAGCCCTACAAAGACTGGCAGTGCCAAGCTTCTTCGTAACTGTGATGTTTGGCATTTTCCCAAGCATCTCTCTTCTTGAACAAATTTAGCCAAACTCCAATGGTAGTATTTATCACTTACCAGTACCAAGAAGCAAGGTGTAAATCAAAGTCATGAACAAGTGTGTGTAGCATGAAAAGACTAGTCTCTGCTTTTATAAGGAGATAATAAAAAAATTAATGAATGGGAAATATAGAATCATAGCAGTAGTTTGCAGCACGGGCTTGAACCAGAGAGATCCTACCTCCCTCACATGCATGTTGCAAGGCCTTAGAACATTATTCAATATCTGAGCCTCAGTTTTCTCATCTTTAAAGTGGGAATAATTTATGAAATGGAATAAATAATTAAGTTCAATTATATAAGTAAAGTACTTAGTACAGTACCTGGCACATAATAAATTTTGAACTTTTATGATAATTATTATCATCATTACTAGTTATAATTACAAAATGCTTTTCAAAAGTGATCACTTTGAATTTAACTTGTATGTCATCTGATCTGGAAGTATAATAAGGGTATCTAATTCCTGCTGATTTAGTGAGTCAAACAGAAAACCAAAACAAATTGAATCATTCAACTGGTGTATTTAGAATTGCTGATGATTATAGCATTCAAGAAAGTTAGTGAAACACATAAATTGCAATTCGACTGTCTTTAAAATCTCTAAAATCAGTTTTTATTTGTCTAGTCTAATAGTGGGCAGGGATTACGTGTTTTAAAATAACGTATATTTAGAGCCTTCTAAAATAGAAGCATGTGCAAGGTGAATACGGAGGAGATAAAATGTGTTAACACAAAGAAGGTACAGTGAAAAACATTTATGTTTCATCTTAGACTGCAAAAACTGGATGCATTGCCTTTGAATAGAACTTTATGCTTTTCACAGAATTATCCCTGCATCACCATTTTATTACTGTGTGCGCACGCGCGCGCGCGCGCGCGCACACACACACACACACACACACACACACACACAGAAGGCCACATGTACACATGTAACCTCTTTGCACTCAGCACCGAATTCTCTTCTAAGTCAGCTCTACTGTTAGAGTCCAGGTCCAGATGGAGGGGAAGGTATGGCATTAGAAATAAGGATATGGGACCAGTTCAGAAAATTCATTCAAAGGATAATCTGATTAGCAAATTTTGAAAGGGGCTGGTATATGCATTTCATTTATCATCTAATTCAAAAAACTCCACAACACAACTTGGACAAAGTCACCAGCATCAAAGGTTCTAATGTAGTATAATTTGTGTTGAACGTGTTGCATTCTGACAGTGCTATAAACCAGGGAGACAGTTTACTGACAATTCTGTGCTACCAGATACCAACTCAGGCCTCTGTCCAGCTTTACATTGTCAATTCTCACGGAAACATGAGCAGTTACAAAGTCTCAGAGGACGCTGAAGTTTGTATTGCAAAAGATGAGATGGACAGATTTCATATTTTCATTGCAGATTTTTTTTTCCTTTTCAAATTGCTGAGAGCATAATTTTTTTTAAGGCAGGAAATGCAACTAGTGTTTGTTTCTAGCATGGCTTCTGTTTTGAGATTTCTTCTTTGTAGAAGAAATGTGTTGCCCAGCTGTCTAGAATCCCAATCAGGATATGGTTTCAGCATGAAATATATTATAAGAATGATTTTAGCTGGTTATAAACTGGAATGAATATGAGGCTGGGGCTATTTTATACAAATTTTACCCACAGAGCAGGCACTCTGGTTCATTCCAATGGGACCAATATGAATAAATAAGGTAAAGTTTAGTTCTGTGTTTTTCCCAGGAAGGAGAGTAATTGTGAAAGACAAAGAATTGCATTAGTGAACAAGCAGAGCTGTGGGGTTTCTCAGTTGTAGAGATTCTCAGAAATAAGAATCATGTGGCAACTGGCCAAAAGTATTACAGTCAACACTTAAAAGAGTGGTTCAAACCAAGTTGACTTGCTGAAGAGTTTAATGCATCCCAGTTTTAATACTTCTACCTGCAACACACACATTACTCAACAAATAGTCTCAAGAACTCCCTGTGTGATGAACACCTTGTTTGGAGGGTCCAAGCCTAGTACTGGTGAATGGGGAAAGATGCAAGGATGATTCAAGTCCTGTTTCTTTTGAGATCTGAGAAAGAGACAGACATTTCAGCCAGTTTCCTATGTTTTTGATTCCAAGACTTTCAAATTTTAATGTTTCTGAAATATAATCACTGAGTACATTTGATTATATCCTTTCCAAAACTTGGCATTAAATCTATGGGTCTTATAATAGATGGAATTTTAAAAGTTAGATGTGAATGTACTACTGTATATTCAACTACCCAGTGTAATGGGAACACGGAGAGGAAATCTGACTGGGGGATTCCTGAATGAAATTACTATAATCTGGGCCTTGAGGAAAAAGAAGATACCTACTAGGTAGAAAGCCTGTGTATGTAGGGTGAGACGGGAAAGATACTGAGGATAATGAAAGTAAAGGGAAGAACATGCACAAAGGCATTAAAAAAAGCACAACAGAATGTAAATGTGTGAGTACAGTCTCTGTATTAAATACATACATTATGAAGGAAATTCGGAGGGCCCTGAAGCCAGCAAGAAGTTAAGTGGGAAGCCAGATTATAAGGAGTTTGTAAATTCTTCTGAAAACAGTATTGGCTTTTTAAGTGAAAGGAAAACTAACAGTCTATCAGTTACTAAGGGAATGCCACCTATGCTATCTAATTTAATTCTCACAAATGTTTCCAAGACATCACCCCCTCCCCCCACTGCTTTTACTGATGAGGAACAGAGGCACAGGGAGGTTAAATAAAATACCAAAGACATAAGCAGAAGAGAGCTTGGGTTCTAGCCATTTGTCTGATTCTAAAACAAATGAGCTCTCTATAACACCACCTTAAGATGTTTTAGTCTTTTTGTTTTTCGTCTCCTATTTTTTATTTTTATTTCTTGAATTAATGCACTTTTTTTTTTTGAGTCAGAGTCTTACTCTGTCGCCCAAGCTGGAGTACAGTGGCATGCTCACAACCACTGCAGCTTCAACCTCCTTCTGGCTCAGCCCACCAGGCAGCTGGAATTACAGGTGTGCTGCCATCATATCCAGCTAATTTTTTGATTTATTGTAGAGTAAAGGTCTTGCCAAGTTGGAAAGGCTGGTCTTGAACCCCTAGGCTCAGGCAATCCTCTTGTCTCCACCTCCCAAAGTGCTGGGACTAGCCACGTGAGCCACCATGCCTGGTCTTCTTGAATTAATATACTTTTTAAGAGTAGTTTTAAGTTTATAGAAAAACTGAGCAGAAAGTGTAGAGTGTTACCATGTATCTCTTCATGTTTCCCACAATTTCCCTTATTAACAACGTCTTGTTATTAATAAATTGTATTGTTACAATTAATAAGTAAATATTGATATGTTATTAATAAAAAGTGTTTAGCTTAACTTAGAGTTCATTCTTTGTGTTACACATGCCATGGGTTTTGCCAAATGTATAATGACAGGTGTCCAGAATTGCAGTATTATACAGAATTGTTTGCACTCAAAGTGACCTGTGCTCACCTATTCATCTCTTCCTTCTCCCAAATCCCTTGCATCTACTGATATTTTTTACTTTCTGTAAATTTGCCTTTCCCAGAATGTCATATAGTTGGAATCATACCTTTTCACATTGGCTTCTTTTACTCAGCGACATGCATTGAGCGCTCTCCTAAGTTTTTCATGGCTTGATAGCTCTTTTTTAATCACTGAATAATATTACATTAAATGGTTTGTTTGTCTGTTCACCCATTGAAGGACATCTTGGTGGCAAGTTTTGTCCATTATGCAAAAGGCTTCTGTAAATATTTGTGTGCAGGTTTTAGTGTGGACATAAGTTTTCAACTAATTTGAGTGAGTTGCAAGGAGTGCAGTTGCTGAATCATATGATAAGAATATGTTTATTTTCATAAGAAACTGCCAAATTATCTTCCAAAGTGACTACACTATTTTATATTTCTACCAGAAGTAAATGAGAGTTCGTGTTGCTCCGCATTTTAGCCAGTACTAATTGGCATTGTCAATATTTTAAATTTTAGACATTCTAATAGGTGTATAAGTGATATATCATTGCTTTAACTTATAATTGTATACATTTTCTAATTTAAATTATTTTTCTTACCTAATAATAGATGTATTTAAAAATTGAAGCATTTTTCTAACACTTATGATTTAGATGCTTATATTTTCTATCATTTTATTTATTCTTTCATTCATGAGCATAAAGTAAGTATATTATAAGCCAGTAACATCTTTTGAAGCTGGGTTATTTTTCTTCGTTTAAAAAAAATTTTTAAACCAATTTTTTGTCTACCATGTTCCACTAATTATTTATTTCAATTAAAATTGAAATAAAGTTTGTCTTTCTATTTATTCTATTTCTCTCCTGGTAAATTGGTTGGTTACCTTTTACATCTCTGGTGATAATTTTCTAATTTCTTCAACTTTTTATTTTGTTCTTTAAAGCTCTTATTATTATCTATTTATAGTACCTATGTCACAGAGTCTGAAATATTGTTAGAAAATAAAACTGTTGAAAAAATATCTGAAAGTGAAGAAATTATTTACCTTGGTTGACAATAAATCTTAACTTCTGTATTGTTGCCAGATTGCCACTAACTCGATATATTCCATCAACATCTAGACCTGAAAACAAAGGGCATATTCTATATTAGCACATACAAGAACTGAGATGGTAAAAGAAAAACTATGGGAAAAAGTAGTAAATCACCATCAAATATCTCTTACTGACAGAGAAGACCAATTTCTATGTCCTAAATTATGCAATCTTCAAATTTTTAATACCAATAAATTAATTGTAAATTTCAGTGACAATTAATCATCAACAAATTTGAGTCTGGTTGAACCACAGATGAGCAGCAGGTGGCTTGGGAATGCATAGTATATTTAAGATTCATTTCTAAGGAAACGATGGGACTCAAATAAAAAGAACCTCGAGGTGTATGTGTATTATTGTCTTTTTTCCCAAAGGTAAAATAACTCAAGGCATTTGTGAGTTATTTCCTGCCTGCCTGCCTTTCTGCCTTCCCTTCTCTTCCCTTCCCCTCCCCTTCCTTCTTCTCTCCTTCCCTTTCCCTCCCTTCCCCTTATCCTTCCTTCTCTTTTTTTCCCTTGAGATCACTATAGCATAACATATATTGGTCTGATTATCCGATGCTAAAGAGTAAAAATTCTATTCCAGATGTAAAATTAGTTTGATAACCTCTAGTTGTATTATCAATAATAAGGTATTTCATTATGGAGAAAAAAATAAAAGGAAATTTTTGGCAAAATGGTGAAACTAAGTTTCAGATAATTTTAGAATTGGCTATCTATAATTCATAAAGAAATTCTGGGAGTGAATTTGGATAATTAACCGATTGTTTTACATATATCTATTGATGGTATCTAGTTATTTTTATGACCAATTTATCAGGATGATGAAGACAGGAAAATGAAAAGAGAAACACTTATGTAAACACTTTAATGTCCCTAGAAATGTTGATAACATTATTTTAATGTCAGAAGTGTATATTCTTTGATGCCTGTAGGCCCTCAGAAAGGTCTGGGTGAGATTACCAGCCAATGCAGAGGTCATTATCTCTGTAGTTTCTCCAGGCAGGTGATAGAACACCATAGGTAATTATTATAATTCACAATAGTAAGATTAAATATGGCTCAGCCTGTAATCCCAGCACTTTGGGAAGCTGAGGAGAGTGGACTGCCTGCGCCTGTGGGCTCGAGACCACCCTGGGCGACTTGGCGAGACCTTGTCTCTACAATTAAAAAAAAAAAAAATTAGCCTGTAGTTCCGGCTACTTGGAAGGTCGATGCTGGAGTGGCCATGAGTGTGCTATAGAACTCTGGTCTGCACATTTTTATAATATATTAAAAATATATCTTTTAAAAATAATATATTAAAAAAGATTTAATATATTATTATAGATTATTGTCAAAATATAACAGAATAAAGGTTCTACAAAGATCTTTACTGACATGAAATGAGCTCCTCTCCTGCTTTACCTCTACATTTTTACACGTTTTATATTAGGAACATTTCTGCCACTGTGCAAAATATTTCATCAGTAGGTTAGGGTAGAATAACATAAGTTTTAACACTGGTATCAATGGCATAATTTAAAGCAACCATTCAGTATAGTTTTTACTCTTCCATGTAATAAACTATAGGGTAACTTGGGTTAATGGCAATAAAATGAAATAGCTATTAGCAAATGTATTAATTGATGAGAGTTTTGTAGTTCTAGAATGATCTAATAATAAATTACTGAGACTCTGTCCCTTCCTAAAACTATAAATTGTGAGAAATTGGATGAAGCCAGACACCTAATAGCAAGTGGCAAAAGTTTCTAAGACATATGCATTAATAAAACTCAAATATATTTCTTCCTGATGCAAAAAGTAGTTCCATTAATCTAAGGGTACTCCAATTTGTTTGTTTGTTTTAAAGTACAATGTGTGCTTGACAGCTTAAATGTGACCAACATCCTAATTACAATTTTTCTAACATTTAATTCTAGTTTTAGTATTGGTTCATGCTGGTCTTAAGTATATGAACATATTTCCAGAATGCTAAAAGATTAATTTATGAACAATTTATTAACCATTTTCTCTGTTGAATTGTCATTAGATAGCGTTTAGTACTTAGTTTTACCTAAAAAATATTAAATAATGTGATAAGTTTTAAAAAATTGTACATTTAAGTGTGTTCTTTTTAAAGTTTTTCCTCTTACTTTTTTTATCGTATAGTCACTGTGAAAATTATTTTGGAATTATTTTCTAAAATCACCTTCAGTGACCAAAACTGCCTATAGAAAAATGTTCACGATGCCAAATTTGGGACTTTCAGGGATAGTTTTGAATTTGGAAGTGGCCAAATGTCACCTAGAACCACAAGTGGTGAATAAGCCCTATTGCTGCTTTTCGCCACAAACAGACAGATAAACAGACAAAGTTTGACCATATGGAAATGACTTTGATTTTTTTCCTGTGAATTAACAATTGCTTTGTAGGAATTTAGAGAAAGAAATATTTTATAAAATAGAAACATCAATGAAATATGTGGGTCTATGTTCTCCAAATGAGAAATCTTAATACATTTTTAAAAGAATCAGTCAAATTAGTTCTATATATAATAATGATTAAAGATGAAATGTGAGTTAATATCTATTACTTTAAAATGAGAAAATTGATTATGTGTTTTGTTTTTAAATTAATTTTTGTTTTGCTAATTAGCTGAACCCTTATCAGTTGTTAAGAAATGAAATTATTTGAAATTCAACAAAATTTTATTGCTAATGAAGGCCTTATTGAACTCTCACTTTAGTATGCATATTCCTCTATGAAAGGTACAAAATCAATTGCATGTCCATTTTGAAGCTAAGTTTCTCTCTTTTCTTTTTTTTGAGTTGGAGTCTTACTCTGTCACCCAGACTGGAGTGCAGTGGCCACTCCCGGCCACCACAGCCTTGACCTGCTGGGCTCCCGCGACTCTTCCGCCTCAACCTTCCATCTCTTTTCTAATGTGATTCTAAATGGTATTGAAATGCATATGTGGCCTAGAGTTGTAAAGTGGATCTTCACAAATTCCCTGTATCCAAACTTATAAAAATTTGAAGTTACAACATAAGAAGTGATCCCCTTGATCTTTCATATATTCTGGTAGAATTTTTTTTTAAGTTCTGTAATCAGAAACATTTGAAAAAGCAGTATGGATGAGATATATTACATATGAACAATTGGAAAGCACTACACTGTTTAAAGAAAGCAACTGCATCCTAAATAAATAACCCAACTTTCTTTTGAAATGAAAGGAGGGAGAATTGGTGATAGGGATAGGGAGGATAATTCAGACCTGTGCCACCACTGCGTTTGTAGAACTGAGTCACAGCAGAGAAACTACTTTGTGGCTGAAGATATAAACCAGAAAGTAAGAGAGAGGAAAGCAAAACATATTAGATGCAATATGAATCTATCTTGACACAACTTCTAAGCCCTTTATATTCAAGGATATCAGCACCATATATCTTGTGAATGATAACAATCTCTGACATTAGTAGCCCCTGGTTTGAATGGCTCATGATTTCCTGCTATCATGCTTTTTAAATTACATAAATAGAGTGAAAATGACAAAGTACATATTAAAAAGGAGGGTATTACATTTTGCAAAATAATCTGGAACATATCAGTGAATTTTAGTAGTTATAAATTACATAGGTACAGTCTTGAAACTGATTAGCTCCCCCCTGGATGACTCACAAAATGGCAAGCCCAAAGTCCTAGGAATATTATCCAAATTACAATTATTCACGTGCCATCCTCTTTTTAATCCAAGAACTTTGAAAGTTATGCCAAACCAAACCAATGTAAATTGGTGGACTTGGACATCCTTTTCGTGACCACATTATTCTTGCTGGATTGAAAACTACTTATTTTGGAAATATAATTAGACTTTGTATGATTTTTAAATGAGCAATGTCTTCAAGGTACCTCTGTTGTGCTTTGGTGCAGTTTGGAGAAAAATCACTTTGAGAGGTACCTCTTTCAAGAAAATAACATGACTGTAAATGCTGACAGGAATTTTGTCTGTTATGCTAAAAATACTTTGGGAACACGATGAAACTAAGTCACTTTACATTTTTTTTTTTTTACATTCAGACTGGCATTAACAACAGTAACAAAGAATTCTCTGAAGAAATCCACATTCACTGAAATATCGTTTATTTGTTCACCAGTTGACCTTCTTATGTTTCAAAATAGTGTTTACCGTTGGCAGAAATCACCGGGTATTGATTGCTGTAGGGGATTTTTAAAAAGTCTCCCCCCCACACACTTTTTTTTCTTTCTGAAGAAGCTTAGACTAGGACAGACACACAATTAGGAGTTATTAGAGCAAATGGTGGTCTAAGCCCAGTGGAAAGAATGCAGCTGTCATGAGTAATTCCCACCATAAATCTTAAACACTTTCCAAAAAGAAATCTAAGAGACCAGCACTGTGTCCAGAGTTGACTGGCTTATCTGCCAAAATATGGGCAGTTTTTGACAATGCAAAAGAGCCTGTTAAAAATAGTTGCAAACTGTGGATTAGGTAGCATTTTTGGTAGCCGAATGATGGACAAACCACAGAGACGTGGAGTTTGAGCCTGGTTGAGCGGTGTGCCCCAAAAGCTTGCTTGTTTTTCTGACCCATAACAAAATGCATCTGAACCTCTGTAGTCTGCAAATGTGGGCTGGGAATTTTGCACAAACAGTCCCTCTCCTGAGATTTATGGCACTTCCTAATTCCTAGGAGGCCAGAGCTACCACAAGAAGAGCCATTCTCACCATACTTGGGCTTCTGGCTTCTCCCTCCTGTCAAGAACCATTGAGCACAGGAACACCCAGACTGCCCCCAATCTCCTGCACGTTTCTTTCTCATCCTTCCAAAGCCCTGCTTGGGTTCTGAGCTAAGTATCGGGAGATGTTTCTGGGTCATTCAGGGCTATTTCTCCTCCTCTAAACTGAAGTGAGTGTATCTAACCTTTTATTGCTAATTCATTTGTTCACACACTTTAAATTCAATGACCGAGAGTACAAGATATAATTTAAAACTCTAAGTTTTATGTCTACTTGGACTCAGTGGCTGGTAT